TCCCCAGGTCTAACATACATATTTCGGATTGGTACTTGGAAAATTGGCCTATCCTGATGCGCAACCCCTAATGCAAGGGTGCCCAAGCCCAGTCCTCAAGAGATCCCATCCATCCTGTTTAAGGCGTTTCCTACCCCACCACACCTGATACAAATGATCAGCCCATCGGGGAGCTTTGCAGAAGCTTGATCATGATCCTGATCATTTGAATCTGATGTTTTGGGGTTGGGCTCTAAAACAGGGATAGGGGGTCTTGAGGACCAGATTTGGGCACCCCTACCCTACTGCTAAATCTGTCAGGGTCATGTAGGTGGGCAGGTGCCTATTTCAGATGACATTTGGTGACAGGGGGTGCACCCGAGACTGGTCACAAGTCAATCACAGTATTTTAATATCGTATTTTCCACACAAAAAAAGGCACACTGGATTATGAGGTGCACCTTCAATGAATGGCATATTTTGTAATTTTTTTTCATATTTTGGACGCACCGCATTATAAGACACAATCTACAATGCATCCACTAGATGGAGATACGCTCAAGATAATGCCAACGATCAGATGTCAGTAAAACTTACTTAATAAAGCAGCAACACAGTTCACTTAACCAACAGCAAATTATAACATTGACTCGTTAACGTTAAACTCTGCTCTATTTCCGTGTTCGACTGCGTCGCCTTAAGTCTGAACTCTGCGTTGTAAGCATGTCTCTAGCAAGGAGCCATTTTGGGGTCGAGATATTACCATAATAACCATACACAAGGCACATCGGATTATAAGGCGCACCGTGAGCTTTTAAGAAAATGGAAGGCTTTTAGGTGTGCCTTTTAGTGCGGAAAATACGGTAAGTAAATTAAGTAATTAAGTTTTTAATCTGATCGGATGGCCAGGGTGTGGGGTCCCTCAAGGTTCAGACCTTGCACCCCTTTTTTTTCCTAGTCTGTGTATGTTACCTTTGGGTCAAATCCTTCGGAACACCACTGGTGGCTATCATGATTATGCAGATGACACACAGCTATATGAATCAATGTCTCCAAATGACAGCAGTTCAATTAACGTACTGTGTCACTGTCTAGAAGCAACTACATAGCGGGATGCACCAACATTTCCTTCAACTTTTGGCAATAAAGAAAAGAGGATTGCTGTTAGAAAACACCTGGAGTCGCTGTCTTTAGAAACCAAACATCAATTTTTAAATGTGCTTGAGGTTCTGATTGACTTAGACCTGACAAATGTTTTCTCGAACTTTTATCACGTGTATCCAACAAATGTCTTTAAATGATACTTGTCGCTCTCCAGAGCACTTTCAATGATTGTGTTCACTTTGAACACTTTCAATGATTGTGTTAACCTTACATAAATAAAGTAAGACGTTATGGCCAATAAGAAGGGTAGGTGCCAAAACAACTGTAGCTCCAGGGTATTACAATACTTCTCGAATTAGTTTATCACTAGTGAAGCAAGCAGAGAGTGGTAGCTGTGGAAATGTTTCCACCTGCTTTCCACCTCCCCATCCTGCGTTTTTTTTTTCGACTTCCTCTTATTTGTTATGACCAGACTAATTTACACTTCACAGCCACTGTAACCTCCCTCCTGAGGTTACTCCTCCCCACCTCTCTCTCTGTCTCTCTCTCTCTCTCTCTCTTTCTCTCTCTCTCTCTCTCGCTCTCTCTCTCTCTCTCTCTCTCTCTCTCTCTCTCTCTCTCTCTCTCTCTCTCTCTCTCTCTCTCTCTCTCTCTTTCAATCATTGATTTAGGTGGATTTCCACCCCCTCATGTTCACCATCTCTCCTCATGTTCTCCTTGTCCATGTCGGCCTCTTTTTAAATTTTGCCCCTGACATTTATTCCTGTTTCCCTACAACTTGCCTTATCACTTCGGCTTCAGACAGATCTGCTGGTCATTAGCTTGCTCCGCTTCTCTCTTTCCCTCCTCCAAGATCCATCTGTGGTCATCTCTCATTTGCATCTTCCTCTCAGTCCTCCTCCTCCCTGACCTCATGTCATTTCCTCATTCTAGTGTCAGGCGGATGGCCAAATGAATAATGGAGCACACGCAGAATGTCTCAGCCCCATTTATTTTTCAGTGTCTGTCTTCAATGCATTTCTTGTCATTTGTTAGTTATGTAGTGACTATATTGGACTCCTCTCACTTTAAACGATGAAATAAGTCAATGTTTTGTTGTTGCGTGTTTTTCACTTGTTTTATCGGAATTTGCAACGATGTCGTCCCTCAAAGAGTTTACACCTATTAAAAGATTGAACTGCAAAACATCTATTCTCACATCACTACATCTGGGTTAATTCAAGGCTATCCTTCATTTGAGGGTAGTTTATCTTTGATTAGTGACATAATTAATACATTGGCTATTTCAGAGCAAATTAAAAAAAAAAGAATGGTCACAACTTCATTCACTGCATCAGCAATGTGCTTTGCGCAGCCTCAGGTGCCTCACCCCGACATCGTTTGTTCCACGGTGTAGCACATGCTGTCAGTTAACAACTCATATCCACAAACAACTCTCTGATAGATTATGATGGTAAAGACTGTCATGTAAAGTTCCTACCAATAGCTGAACATCATTCCCAAGGTCACTTGTTCATGGTCTGCGCGGGACGACCTGATGAGCTTGTGATCAGGAGATGGCATCGTAAACCCTGCCCAACCTCAGGAATATTTAAATTTAGACATTATATTGTGCAGATATCTCTTGTGCACAGTGACAATCTTCCACAAAAACTTTATTCAAATATAACAAAATCATTTTGTCAGATGTCACATTATATAAAACATGGTACAGTAATTCTTTTATATTCTTTGGAGAAACAGTAGTGTCAGATTCATCACTGTTGTTTTCTTTCTAATTTGCTTTTCCAAAGAACTGAGAAGCTCTCAGATGAGAAAAGTCACACTCCCCCAGAAGTATTGCTTCTCAACTTTGCTGGGTAATTTTAGGCAGTGCTAAAAAAAAAAAAATTGTGTTTATACTGGCTCAAAGCAAAGAGGGCAGGTGCTGATCTGAAACAAGGCAAACAATCAACACAAAATTAAAAACAAAATAAAATGTATCGTGAACCAACTAACGAATCAGCCCTTGAAGAAACTAAATGGAAACGCCATCCATCCATGTGTGTATCCATCCATTTTCTTTCGCTTGGCTGGGTTTGGATTGTGGGGGCAGCAGCTTAGCAGGGAAACCCAGACTTCCCTTTTCCCATCCTCTTCAAAGGGAATCTCAAGGCATTCCCAGATCAGCTGGGAGGCATAATCACTCCACCGTGCCCTGGGTCGTTCCCAGGGCCTTCTCCTTGGGGTGATGTGCGCAGAGCACCTCATCAGGGGGACATCTGGGAGGCATCCTGACCAGATGCCCGAGCCACCTCATCTGTTTTCAATGTTTGGTGTACTGTCTAGCCACAAACAACAGTCAGGCGTACGGAAACAACTCAACGTACAGGCGCTAAGCCTGTGGGCAATAAGTATTTTCAAAATATCTGCCGTGGAAATAGGAAGATGATTTTGCCCTATTTAATGACTTTATCAACTGACCTCTATCACTCGACATTTTTCCATTCATGATGAGCAGGTTGGCTCACAGCATCACACTGTTGACACAAATAAGCTTCCACAGGAATCCCTGCAGAGTGCCAGCTGGTTGATTTCAGAATCCATAGTAGTGTTTGGAGGAATTTTCTGGTGTAGAAAAAAAAAGTTACACAGAGCGATTCACATTTCATCTCAGCAGGTGTACAACAACTAACGATTTCCATGTAAAACACTCTGACAATGTCATAGGCACAAACAGTCACATCGGATGGGGTTTCATCCAGGGGGGCTGCACAGGGGCATGTGTACATACTGTTTGTGAGTGTGCGTGTGGGTGGGTGGGCGTGTGTGTGTTGGGCTTATGTGTGCATGCATGTGTGTGTATATATATATTGTGTCCATCGAAATTTTACGTAAAGATTCTAAAAATGGGGCTCCTATCTTAGCTGATGAAACATGCTTGTTGACTCAAGGGATAACACATTTGTGGAGCCATTGTGTACGAGATTGCTGCTGTCCTCCAGCTTACGCAGTGGTAGCGTGATGCTTTTGTTTTCTTGAGCTGTCTTTTTCATTCTTTTTGTTTTGGACCCGATAACCTTCCCAAGTATGCATCTGTGATGATAAGCCCTCAATAAAGTTCTTTTAATATTTTCAAACATCCTCTTATGTCTGTCCTGTTCCTTATCTGCGCATGTTTCTCTTCTTCATCTCCGTTTCTATCTACCTGTGATATTATTAAAGGGCAGTTAAAGTGACTCATATTGCTCAAGGGAGTGTAGTAGACCGTTGAATTTCAGCAAGGCTGCAGTCTATACATCACTTTCCATTTTTAGAGTCACTGCACCTTTTTCCTTGCCTCAT